ATTTAATGCCCAATGCAATTGACAAAAAGGAAGAAAAAGAAGGCAGGAAGGAGATCATGTGTAGTGCAGATAGCATGTGACCCTCCTGGACCTCCTGGGTGAGAGTCTCAGGGTGCAATTGCTGGTCCTTGTAGATCCTGGAAGAGATTAGGTTTTTCAGGAGGGGGTTTGGAGAGAAAAAGTTTGTGTATTGGGGAGGGCCAGGCAGACTGGTGTAATCCTACTAGAAATGACTGTGAAGAACGTATGCTTTCATTTAATGCAAGACACTTTGTAGATTATAATTGGATAGCTAATTGGGAAAGGATGATAATTGTTTATGAGAGGGAGGGATTAAGTAATTATTCAAAGCTGTTTTAAAAGACTTATAAATACTCCTTGACAAAGGCCTGGGAGGAACCAAAACATTGGCTCAATCATTTCCTCACCTCTCCAGAATTAGTGTTTATGCCTGTGTGATAAATCAGTAGTAAGGTGCAGTGCACTGCTGAGTGTTCATGAGTGCTGTGGGGTGGAATGACAAGGGGATGCCACACACTATGGTACCTGTGCGCAGCCCGGCATTCCCGTCCACTTCTCCCAGCTGTTGGGAACACAGTGGAAAAGCCTGGACACGGCAATTTGTGTGGGGATGTACAAAAGCATGCATGTGCATACACAAAACCGTGCACAAAAGCTTCTAAAAAGCAGTTCAAAACAGGGTTTAATCCAAAAGGCACTGCCAGCACACCTTTGGCAGCATGTGTGTCCTATGGAAATGCACGCATGAGCACACCAGCACCAGCCTTTCTACAATTATATTGGTTTCTTTTACTTTAAAGATCGAACATTGATATCAATTATTTAAAATTCTGGACTGTCAAAATGTATGTGAATAAACAAATCTGAGCAGGCAAACAACACTCACGTATACCAAATATTTCTTCTCTTCAGCATGCCTCTCCAGAAAAGCCTGAACGTGTATCTAAAATAATTAGATTTTGTTCAGTAATCAAACTCAATCAGATGGATTCTCTGTGAACTACTTTTATACCCACAATGAGGAATGTGTGTCGTTCTCTGTGCATTTGCATATTTTTCCATAAACCTAAAACCAATCAATTTTGAAGAGTTATGATAATATAAAGAATCTGAGGCAATTACGTGTCTTTTAAACAGGGATTCAAAATGCATTCCACTGACAGTATTCATGTAGTAAAACAGTCAAAACTTCCTTAACCCTTTTAGTGACATCTCCATCAGGGCACAGTGACTGATGCCTGAGATGTCACTGGTGGCAGGAGCTGATGGCTGGAGGCACAGGCAGAGGCTGTTAATTCCCCCTGGTCATTAACAGCCCTGGCACAGCCCGTGGCAGGTGCTATTCTGGCCCTGACCTGGCTCAAACGTGGAGCTCGCATTACACAGCGTGGAGCAGCACTGCCGGGGAACCCATCCCTGGGGCCAGTAAGTAAATTAACAGTGCCATATTTTCCTCAGTGATTATGCCAAATACCACATCAGCCACCAGGCTTGAATGCAGACTTCTTGGGGATTTCATTTTCATAAACAGGGAGGAATTATGCAAAGTGCTATAGGTAGGGCTTAGAAATGTTTTTTTTAACATCCATTTGGTGGAAATGACTTTTTAATGATTTTTCTCTGTGGTTATGCCTGGCCACAGCAGCCTTTTCCATGTTTATTAAGTAGTCCAGACTTTGCCTTTCGCATTGTTAATGCTTTGATCCAGAGAAGGCAGAGCATCTCTGGCAGCCTGAGCGTGGGGTTTCCAATGAGCATCCTAAGCTGTACATCCTTGTCTAACAAGCTTCACTTCAGAGTAGAGCTGGCCTCCAAACCTTGGCTAAGCATGCATAAAAAGTTAATTATTTTTGGTGTACTTGTGGCCCTCATTTACTTTTAGGAGCCAGGAACGCATGCCATTCTGCAGAGCCCATGCCCAAAGGATGGGGCAGCTCCAGAGCATTTTGCCATGCCTGAAATATTCAATTTTTTAAAATAAATTCCCTTTATAAAAGTCATAAGAAACTGAAATATTTTATCAGTGAAACTTTTTCATGACAATGCAGTGTTCCATGGAACCAAATCACCTGTGCCATTGCAGAGACATTTCACAACTCTTCATTTTGGGGTTTTGTTTTCAACAAGAAGGTATTGCATTGTGTTTAGAGAACTTCTCACTGAAAAAAAAAGAATTCTGAAAACAACTAAAAGGGTTTAGTTTTAACAAAATATGCAGGATCTGGGGCTGATGGCAGGACAAAATAAGCACAGTGAACAGAACACTGAAAAGACCGACCCACTGCCAGTCACTGTGGTGAAAGGATGGAGAACTGAGACCCATCCCATAGTAGTGAAGGCAAGAAGTCCTAAAATGGTTTCAAACATAACCCAAAGGCTACTGAAACCAACAGCACTTGAAAAACCTCCAAGGAGTACATTTTGGACTGCTTTAACTTCTAAGTTCCATCTTCCCATCAGTTACAGTATCACAGTATGCTAGAGATTGGAAGGGACCTCAAAAGATCATCTAGTCCAATCCCCCTGCCAGAGCAGGAACACCTAAATAAGGTTACACAGGAATGTGTCCAGGCGGGTTTTGAATGTCTCCAGGGAAGGAGACTCCACAACCTCCCTGGGCAGCCTGTTCCAGTGTTCCGTCACCCTCACTGAGAAGAAGTTTCTTCTCAAGTTTAAGGGGAACCTCTTGTGTTCCAGTTTGTACCCATTACCCCTTGTCCTATCATTGTTTGCCACTGAGTAGAGCCTGGCTCCATCCTTGTGACACTCCCCATTTATATATTTATATACACTAATAAGGTCACCCCTCAGTCTCCTCTTCTCTAAACTATAGAGACCCAGCTCCCTCAGTCTTTCCTCATAAGGGAGATGCTCCACTCCCTTAATCATCTTAGTTGCCCAGTGCTGGACTCTCTCCAGCAGGTCCCTGTCCTTCTTGAACTGAAGTTCTTAAGACAAAACTGAACCCTTTCTCTTTCTTGGCAGGGACTGGTTCTTCATTCTTGTATTTTGTATTTTAATACATTTAATGTATTTTAATACATTTCAGCAGTCTCTATAGACAGCCTGTGGCAAAATCTATCGATGGGACATGCCATGGCTTTGGCTTAAACAAACTTTGAGGTTGATCTGAGTCTTTTATTGATAATAGGAAAAGTATTCTTATGTATTTCTTGAATGGTGGCAGATGGCACCTGAATTCAATGTTGACCCACACAGCTTTTTTCTTTTTTAACTAGCAAAACCCCTTTGACTTCAGAGTGCTCCTAATATTAGAAGTTTAAAATAAGGAGCATGCTTTTTACTGGTTACAGACTGCAGTGCAACTTTTACAAATAGTCTGTATTTTTAAAAGTATGACCCAACCAGTGTTCCTTCAAAGTGGTGGATTGGATTGGTGTCCATTAATAACTTTGGTATTATGTTCCTTTTTACAGTTTTTGAGGGGTTTGGCAGATGGTTGTGAAGGATGTATTTATACTGTGTGGGTCTTTGTAGTTTTTAGTTTATACTACAGACAACACTTCTGGGATTTATTTAAATGTACAAAGAAATTATTTAGTGAAAAGGAAGACCTTATGGGTTATTATTTGGAGAGGAAAACAAGCAAGAAACAAAAACAAAACTTTATGGGGATTTTTAAAAACCTGCTCAAATTTCATGTTTTTCCCTGTTAGTGACAACTGTGCCAGCAGTGGACAGAGCAGCTCTCTTGGGTACATAGAAGACCCAAACCACTGACTCTTGCTGGGCCAGAGGAAGAGAGTGTGTTCCTGCCTGTGCTTTTCCAAGCTCTATGCCTTTGCAATAGCAAACTCTTTATTAATTGTAAAGCATTAAAGAAGTATTTCAGTGCATAAATAAACAAACTCAGAGGATGCTGTTTTGGTTGTTTACATAGAGAAGACATTGAGTTCATCCTTTCATGAAGAGGGACATTCCTCCCAGGGACAGCATCACCAGCCTTTGCCGTCGAAGAACAGGAAGAAATGCAGAAAGCCCCATAATGAGGAGTTACTCTGCATTTTTAACTCAGTCTAAGGTTAACACCAACATTTATAAAGAAACTACAACAACCTTAGTGGCAAGAATTAAAATACAGCTGCCAATTCCCCATCTGTATCTGCGTACATAACATGCGTCAGCTGAAAGACTTGCACATATCCGAGGAACAGGCTCTTTCAGGAAAAAACAGGTGGAGAAAGAAGATATCTACAGTATGCCTGGCAGGGAGGAGCGCAAGTTTGCTCAGAATATATTGGAGACCCAGATTTGGAGGAGGTCACGCTTGTGAAAATATTACCACTGTAATATTGCCAAGGTCATGTCTGAAGGCAGGTTTGGACTGTGCAGGAGCCAGCCAAATCCAGCATGTTAAACATGTGCAGGAGAGCACACCTGGAGCACGATTCTTTTCCACTGCCTTCTCTTCATTTTCACCCTGGAGCTAAATGCTGTCAATGTGCACTTGCTACCCAGAAAGCCAACCGTATCCTAGGCTGCATCACCAGCAGTGTGACCAGAAGGTCACAGGAGTGATCTCTCCCCCTCTACTCTGCTCTGGTGAGACCCCACTTCAGTGCTGTGTCCAGCCCTGGGGCCCCAATGTAGGAAGGACATGGACCTGTTGGAACAAGTCCAGAGGAGGCCACAGAGATGCTCTGAGGGCTGGAGCACCTCTCCTATAGAGACAGGCTGAGAGAACTGGGCTCGTTCAGCCTGGAGAAGAGAAGGCTCCAGGGAAACCTTAGAGCAGCTTCCAGTGCCTAAAGGGGCTACAACAAAGCTGGAGAGGGGCTTTTTGCAAGGGCAGGGAGAGACAGGACAAGGGGGAATGGGTTTAAACTGACAGATGGTAGATTTAGATAAGATATTAGTAAGAAATTCTTTACTGTGAGGGGGGTGTGACACTGGCACAGGTTGCCTAGAGAAACTATTAAACAAATGCAATTTCATTAAAGTTTAATTTTGGCCTTAGCTTTTGGTCTGCATGTTGGTGGATCTAGCACTGCAGGCAAGAGAGCTATGGCTCACTCCCACCTTCTCTGTGAACTTCAAAGGGAGCAGAAGAGGAGGGATACGTCATTTGCAAGGTTGGTATCTGGAGAGCATAGGAAAACACAGGGCTGGAGACAGGAGGAGAAAACAGACACTAGTAAAAGTGTTTTCCAGATCATGTTATTGGGGATAAAGATTGCACTGGCAAAAGCTTTGTAAACAACCCAGAAAACAATATCCCAGTGATACTGCCTTTCCGAGCTGCAGTGATGCACTGATCCAGAACACAGGAGGAACAGGAATTAGCTATATTTTATCAGCACTGATTCTTTCAGGTGTAACCTGTGCTCCTATCTGGGTAGGAAGTAGGAGGCGGAGCTGAGGGAGAGGAGGGAAAGGGCAACCGCCACAATTGCTTGTGAGACCCAGGGACATGGCAACGTTCACTACACACCCTCAATTCATGTAAATTCATATTTATTTGCCTTGTCGTTCTTCTGAAAGGCAGAGAAATCCATTCTGCATTTCTGTCATTTGTTTTCCTACCAGAATATGTTTCATAAACATTTTCAGTGTCCTCTCCCTTTGCAAATGAGTAATGGGGGAAAGTAACTTTGGAAATGACATTGCAATGTAATCATCCATATTGTGTATTGTGGTTAAAATTGATTAAAATAATATTGAAACTCCCCCAAGGGATTATGCAATTATAAGTCAAGTCCCAAATGGAAAAGGTTTTTGAGAACTTGGCAGACGTCTTAATGAAAATGAAGCATTATAGTAATATATTAGCGCTATTTGTATATTATTGACAGCAAGATCACTAAACTGTATAAATTACTGTCCAGAAGAATGGCTGAATTGTTTTTCTTTCAGGAAATTTTTAATCAAATATAATTTCAGAAAAATAATTGTTTAATTTTGGCCTTAGCTTTTGATCTGCACATTGATGGATCAATTATTAAACTGAGTTTTAGCCACTCATTTGCTTTGAAAGTTGACAGTTTAAATATTTGATTTTACACCCATTTTGTTTTATTACAAAATAAATTCTGGCTAATGCCATAGACTATTACTTGCAGCTTTGCAATAAAAGCTAGTAGAAGGCTCCCAACTTTTGTTTGTTTGCCATAACAAAGCCACTCTCCTGGCACAGTTTTTCCTGAAGGCTATCGTGGAGCAAGAAGTGGGGATGCTAAGGAGGGCAGGTTGGCTCCCCTTAGGAAGGAAGGTAATTGCCTTCCACTTGGGGAGTTTTGAACCCTTTAAAGTCTGCCTCATTATGCATTGGCTTAAAAGGGCTTGGGAATTGTTGGTTGTTTTTCTTTTGCCCTGCACAAAGGGCCCTGTATAAATACCAGTAAATACAGTAAATTTATATCAGTAGATTTATTCCAATACAGGAATTTCTGTTTCAGTGATTAAGAAATAAACTGCTTGCCTGTAACCACACAATATTTTAATCTTTAATTTTAAAAATATGCTGTATTTTAATATCTTTTTTTAAACAGATACCAGTTTTTATGAAGCACTACATGAGTTGCTGATGGATAAATCACCCAAGCATGGTTAAAGAGACCCTAATCTCCAGATGGTACCAGATCCATTTAATTGTATCCTCTGACCTCATCTCACCTGAGCCTGCATTAAAATCATAATACAGTTCAAGTGTAAAAATGATATAGTGTTTATTCGTCCTGTTTATAGGGGGGCAAACACACAGTTAAATTCATATGTCGAAAATTAGTGTAGTCATTTGAAAAGGTTGAGTTAGATCAAACTGACTTTCATCATTTTATTTGCCCTTTTTTATTTAAATGGCTCTATTGCTATAGTTCGACATCTTTAAATGATGGAGGATGCTGAGAAAGAGGTGAAGCGGGTTTCTGGGCACGTTGAAGGCAGATTCTTGCATTAGCCATGGGGCCACATCCAGCCTCAGGGAAGGGGGATGGAGCACTTGGTCTCATTTTTAATTTGCACCATGCATAACAAGAGAAGTTCGTGTGCATTGCAAATCCACTGCAAATGTGTTAATATTTTCAAATGCCCAAAGCTTCCCTCTGTGGTCTCATTTTCACTACTCTAGCACATGGGCATGCCCCTTCCCACCTGCATGCCCCACAGAAGAAGTGCTTTGTCCTCCTGATAACTATTTCTTTGGGTGATCACTGGCCCCTGCCTCAGCCATTCATCTCACACCCTTGCTGATATCCCCTAAACCAGGTATTTTTGCAGCAGGTGGTCAAGCTTTGAGGACTTGTGATCTTGGGAGTAATTAACTATCCATGTTCACCCTGTAGTTACACACAAATGAGATTACGTGAAACATGTATTGACTTGTGCACTGACCTGGCAGCTTCTCTTGGTCACACAAGAGCAAAATACTTCACTGTGGTAGTGCTCTGCAAAGGGGACAAACCCACGCCTGAGCCCAAGGGGGAACAGAGGAGAGGCAGGAGAGGAACACAGACAAATAACCTAAATTATTACAAATGCATTGGCAGAGCCAGGTTAGCAGTTTTACTGTGGATATACTAGATTATGGAGAGAATTGAATAATTTATCCAGCAATTTTCACATAATCAATATTATTAAAAATGAAGACATGAAAAAAGAGGTTAGTTATAGTGGAGAATATATATAGGCCATGAATAAATGTATTAGGCAGTAAGAGTAGTGAATGTTTTAGTAGGTTTAAACTAGATTAAAAAAACCTGTATTTGATTTCAACTAAGTCCTAAAATATCTGCTGAGAAAAAAAACCACAGCTTATGATTGGCAAAGCCAGAATAGCTATGTGTGTGTAAGCCAGAGGCATTGCTTGAAGTGGGGAGGGTGCTCTTTGTCACCATACTTACACTGCCATGCGCAGCATGCCGGGAGTGTGCCCTATGGCCCTGTGTGCCAGCAGCACCGGCAGTGGTGTAGGGATAAGAGGGCCCCATCCACTTGTCTGCATAAGCCCCATGCCACCCTGCATGCATGCTGGGGCCATACGCTAACTTCCCAGGATCCTGGTGGCTGTCATGCTGAGCATGCAGGATGGACTGGGACAAGGAGCAAGACAAGGCAGCCCTGCCTGCCAGGTTTTAGTGCTGGCCGATGCCTCTCAGATGCAAACTTTGGGAATGCTGGGTGCATTGTATACAATGGGATGCACTCATCTGAACAGCTCCACTTTGCGACAAGAGCTCCTACAGAGTCCATACAGAATATCCATCTCTCCACCCACGCACCCCAGTAGAGCTGACTGGGCAGAGGCAAGGGCAGCACTGGTGCAAGTCCTGCCTGCCAGCGTGGATGGCAGCAGTGGCTGAGACCCTTAGTGTGGTGGGGACCAGGGGTACAGCCATGGTGGTGGAGCCCTCCGCTGCCAGCCTTGAGCGACGGTAGGGAGGGGATTTGGCCCAGTGCAGAGGTTATCTAAATGGCAGGAGAGGTCCACAGTGCAGACACAGGAGTGTTTATTTTTGTTTCCTATTGAGTTCCTTTTTATCTCTTGTCCTTATGGTTATCTTTTCTCCCCCCTTCGCGTGCTTTGGCAGGGAAGCCGAATACTGATGAGGCATAAGCTGGTAAAGTCCCAAGCATTTCCAGGCAGTAGGTTTGGGAATGAGAGGTTAGTCTGACTAATTAGCCTGGAGGATTTTTGCTCCCCGGGCGTGCAGGTCGGGGTATTACAATAAAAGCCTCTCTGCATCCGGCAGCTTTTGTGCCACGGGCATGGGTGGCTGCAAGCAGCACTGGCTCCAGTTCGGCAGCCCACAGCCATGACAGCAGGCCCAGGGCCAGGATAGGTCCCACAAGCTGGGGTGCCTGTCTCCTCCAGAAACTGTAAATAATGACCACAGCAAGGCTTTGGAAGTCGCGTTATGTACATGCCTAAGGCATGGAGAGAGAGGAAAAACACCACAGGCATTTTTATGGTCCAATTTTTAGAATAATTTGTTTTAAGAAGAAAGAGAATAGATGTATGTCTGGGAGAGCTGGCTTGCAAGTGGTGACGTTCAGCTCCCACATGGTGCTGAATAGGGACTATTTCTGGGAATGGAGAACCATGGCAGGATGTTTTAGCTCATGGCTCTGTCAGCATGGATGGGACGGGCACTGTGGCAATGCTGTGGAGGAGCGAGACCATGGACAGGGTGCAAAGAGGACAGGAGGGGAAACCTGAGAAGCGAACAGCACCAAAGACATCTGCGCTGTGCTATATAGATGTGTGTGTGTATATATGTATATATATAAAAGTATACAAAACCACTATTTCCCTTTTTTTTTATTTTGATTGTAGAGGAACCAACCTGGCAGCTCTTTCAGTTAGTTGTGATTTACTAGCAGAATGGTCATGAAAAAAGCTGAAAATCTGATTTTGAAAGCTTTTTCTGTTTGCAGCCTCTTGCTTGCTCTGGTTTGGTTGTATTTCTTTAAAATAATTTAAACTACATATCCTTATGTTCCTAAAATACGGCCATAAGAAAAATTCTGAAGGCTAGCATCTTTCAGAAGAGTCCTGCACCCATTTAAATGTTATTCTGGTGTACTGAACTGAGCCTGACAGGTTTTGGCAGTGCTGAGTGAAGGAATGCTGTTGGTTTTGTGAGCTGCAGAGCCTCAACCCTGGCTCCAGCCCTCCCAGCCCTGGCAGTCTCTGAGGTTCTCCACCTGCAGGGCAGTTGGAGATAACGTGTAACTGAGGGACCTCACCAGAACTTGCCAGTGGATCCTTCCCTCATGACAATGGAGCAACCACCACCTAGAGAGATCTCCTCTTCCACAACCACATACTCACAAGACCACCTGGAAAAAGCGAAACATTTGCTGCAGCACTCTCTGTTCCCTTGGGGATGATGCTTTTGGTGACCGACAGCCCAGCCAGCACCGTGGCCCCTCAGCAACAGCTGAACAACGGCCCCAAGGGAGATGATTGACATCTCCTAGTGATTTACAAACTTCTGACCATCCATCCTCAGAAATAGAAATACCTGCTGTTCCCTGATCCCAATGGCTCAGTGAGTCCAGTTTTGAGGAGAGTTTCAATTTTATTTCCTTTTGGCCGGGACAGCAGCTCACAGATGAGAGCCTCCTCGTCAAATGCTATTGTAGAGGAGATATGCTGTTCCACTGCCTCCTACCACCTCCCAGCCAGACTCAGGGTCAATACAGACAAATGCCAGTGACCCTCTCTTTTGAACAAGAAAATGCTATTTGTAGACATTGTCATTTTCCTTTTCCTCTGCTGTTCATGTCAAATTAAGAGACGTCATGTGACTGTGATTACCCTAGTCTTCATTTCAAGCAAAAGACAGAAGTGTTTGGACCAGCTGGAGAGCACACTGGGGGCACAAAAGACCAAAATCTTCTTCCCACTGAGACAGAGGGTCTACTGACAGCTCCAAAAATGGTGGTAGCCTTGATTCCTGCCAGCAGAGCTGGCCAGTACCAGTTGTTATATATGGGTCCTGTCCCAGCTCCATCCCATGCCATCCCGCTGGGGTTCCATTACCCTGCCTGGCACTAGAGAAAAAGACACAGAAGAGAAGACCTGGGTTTCCCACAGGAGGACTGGTGCATTACCCTGACACAGGGCTGAGGTTTTGGCTTTCACTCACAGGTAAAGAGCAGGCTTATTTTTTAAATACTGAAATTTAGGATAGAGAAATAAAATCAGTGAGTGGTTACTGGTGACAAAAGCTCACATAGTAGCAGCATGTGCCCCTTACCATTCACAAAACATATGTTAATTGGAGGTAAATATCTATCCTTGCTGAGCCTTGCAAAGTCAGATCTGGCTTATAAATAGGAAAAAGTGGGTCAGATGCTATAAGTGGTTTGCAGAGTGTGTGAGAATCACCATGGACACTGGGAATGTCTAAATAGAGGGTGCTGGGGGAGATATGGCAACACTGGGACTCTCCCAGCCCTCAGGCACAGGGCATCCTGAGGCTTTGGCCAAGCCCTGGCATGGGCATCACTGAAGGGTGGCTGGGTTCCCACCATCAGGACAGACTCCAGTGGCTGTCACCACCCTCCAAAACCCCCAAAATACTTGCTGTATGGAGCTGGGTTGGCTGAAAAGATCCGGATTAGCTGAAAAGCACTCTAAATTGCCTGTATCCTACTGCTGGGTTTGTACCGCCCCGTGCTGCTACTCCAGCACCTCAGATAGGACGACTTTTTGGTCTAATGGTGCTCTTGTTCGGGGCTGCTTCTTCACATCTGGTCGCCAAAGAGTCACTCTGTCACCCTGCAGCCTGCTAATGAGATCCCCCATTTAATTAATACCATAAGAATTTTAATTCTGACTGAATCAATTTAACGTGATGTGATTTTGTCAGCTCTATTCCCCAAGTAAAAAGTGAGCCTGATGCTTATTACATACATCATTTCACGGGCTCTGCATTCCCTGCTGACTTAAACAAATTCTAATTAAGACTAATTAAAGCATCATTTATGAAAGCGCTTGTGATAGCTATGCAAACATTCTGGGTGGGTATGCTTTGCATAATAATTATCCTAGTTAATATTAAGGCTAGGTCCTTGGCAATTAGGTCTTTGAAACAGAGTTATTCTGAATTTAGTCCTTTTCAGTGTTAGCAATTAATAACAAAAAAATAATGTGCTAAATTTATGTGGTGACTTCATTAACCGGATAAATTTAGAAGTAGTACTATTGTTTG